AGCTTGTGTTTCCTTATTTATTTTCATTTTGGATGATCTGTCCATTGGTGAAAGTGGGGTGTTAAAGTCCCATACTATGAACGTGTTACTGTCGATTTCCCCTTTTATGACTGTTAGTATTTGCCTTATGTATTGAGGTGCTCCTATATTGGGTGCATAAATATTTACAATTGTTATATCTTCTTCTTGGAACAATCCCTTGATCATTATGTAGTGTACTTCTTTGTCTCTTGTAATAGTCTTTATTTTAAAGTCTATTTTGTCTGATATGAGAATTGCTACTCCAGCTTTCTTTTTTCTTTTTTTTTTTTTTTGCCGTATGTGTGCCTCTCACTGTTGTGGCCTCTCCCGTTGCGGAGCACAGGATCCGGACATGCAGGTTCAACAGCCATGGCTCACGGGCCCAGTCACTCCATGGCATGTGGTATCTTCCCGGACTGGGGCACACACCCATGTCCCCTGCATCGGCAGGCAGACTCTCAACAACTGCGCCACCAGGGAAGCCCCCAGTTTTCTTTTGATTTACATTTGCATGGCATATCTTTTTCCATCCCCTCACTTTCACTCTGTATATGTCCCTAGGTCTGAAGTGGGTCTCTTTAGACAGCATATATACGGATCTTTTTTTATCCATTCAGCCAGTCTGTGTCTTTTGGTGGGAGCATTTAATCCATTTATATTTAAGGTAATTATCGATATGTATGTTCCTATTCCCATTTTCTTAATTATTTTGGGTTTGTTATTGTAGGTCTTTTCCTTCTCATGTTTCCTGCCTAGAGAAGTTCCTTTAGCATTTGTTGTAACGTTGGTTTGGTGGTGCTGAACTCTCTCAGCTTTTGCTTGTCTGTGAAGATTTTAATTTCTCCATCAAATCTGAATGAGATCCTTACTGGGTAGAGTAATCTTGGTTGAAGGTTTTTCTTCCTCATCACTTTAAATATGTCCTGCCATCCCCTTCTGGCTTGCAGAGTTTCTGCTGAAAGTTCAGCTGTTAACCTTATGGGGATTCCCTTGTGTGTTATTTGCGTTTTTTCCCTTGCTGCTTTTAATATGTTTTCTTTGTATTTAGTTTTTGGTAGTTTGATTAATATGTGTTGTGACGTGCCAGCATTCTGTGATTGTTCTATAGGAACAGTTCCACGTGTAGATGTATTTCTGATGTATCTGTGGGGAGGAAGGTGATTTCCACATCTTACTCTTACGCCATCTTCCTCAACTCCTGTTCAGGATTTATATTGTAAGGGATGCTCAAATATGTACTATGAAAATAATAATACATGAGAATCTTAACAATGTATTTAGATTACTTTAGTGTTTTTCTACACATTATCCAATTAAATCTCTCTGATTTAATTCTGCTGAGATCAGCCTGATATGATGATCTCTATTTTATAGCAAGAACATTCATTCAAACTCAGAAAGTTTAAGTAAACTAGCAAACTGAGAAGCTAAAACTTGAACCTACACTTTTTCACTCACAGTCACAAACAACTCCTAGTTGTGAAAATAAATGCAAATTTTCCCTTTAGTATGATATATTTCAGCACTGAACAAACCCTTAATTATCAATTATTCTTGGATTTGGCAAATCTTTCTGGAGATGATATACAGTAAATATTTTTGGCTCTGCCAGGTATGCAGTTTGTTCAAGTACCCAGTGCTACCATTGTATTGCAGAAGCAGTCATAGACAATATGTAAACGAATGTGTATAACAAAACTTTCTTTACAAAAACTGGCTACAGGCTGGATTTGGCCCATGGGGTATAGTTTGCTGGTCCCTGATTTTGCCCCTAGTCTTATTTCTGAGAAGAAAACAGTTGTCTGCCTAGAGAGTTTATCAGACTTGTCCAAGCTGCTTCTGGATGGAGCCCTGAAATCTATTTTATTTTACTGCTTTTAAGTCTAATATCTCTTTCTAAAAACTATTTAATAATATCAGTCTAATTGACAAGATTTCTACCTTCCCATCCCCAGCACTATAAGGTATAAATATTATTCTAATTGGTCTTTTTATGGTGTTCATGGAATTAGTTTAGGTAGATAGTAATGTCTTAACCGTGCTGACAAAAGTTCACTGCTTATATCATTCTCTGGAGACTTCCAGACATCTAGTCCCTTGACTGTTGATCTGCTTTTCTTCAAGATTGTTCACTCTGTAAGATTGTAAAACAAAGTCTTTAGTAAGCAAACTCCACAGCAATTGAATCCATTTAATTTGCAGAATAGCAACTAAGACCCCGAACAGATCACAGGAAATCTTAGAATTGTTCCTTGTATCTCCCTCAATCCCATGTTCTAGAGGAACTATGATTAATTTTAAATTGAGAAATGGTAAACTGATACTTAACATAAGAAATAAAACATCTATATAATTGTGCTAGGTAGCTTTTATTTCATCATTCTTTGAAAAAAAGATGCAATGTATTAATATAAAATAGCATAATATAAAACAATCAAATATTTTTCAAGTGCTTTTGATTTGTAATTCAATTATGGATTCTGCTAGCAACCTTATTCAAAGGCCAACGTTTTACTTCTACATCAGAGCCCTAAGATTTGATTTTCGAAAACCTATCTTTATTACATTTTCTGCTTCTAAAGGGCGCTATGTTTTACATTAAAGTAGGCCAGTTTTGTTCCTTCACAGTGCTTGGAGTTTAAAATAGAAGATTAAAAACAAGATAGGAAGCTTTTCTGTTTAGAGTTACCCCCCTTCCAACTGTGTGTGTGTGTGCGCGTGTGCGCGTGCACGCACGTATGTGTATGTGTGTGTGTTCTGGACTTCAAATATTAACTATTTGTTAGCAATCCAACCACATCATTTCAATTTTGAATAAATTTTGATGACACACATCCCTCCAATTTAGCTGATTTTTTCCTCATCAAGGAGGAAGTTGAAACTCTTTGCATACCATTATACAACTCCTTTATACCCCAGAAGGAAGCCACAAATGAGCCTTGAGGTCTACTGTTTGTGTCTGTATTCTAGTTTTGCCCTCTCTGCTATAATAAATTAGTTCTCATATGATCATACAGAGTTGAAACCCTGGTGGTTGCTACAGGGAGAATACAAATGGAGAATGAAACTTAATATCAGACAGTGGTAGTATTCCCCATTTGTAGCAGACTTAAAGTAAATATAAAGTTAAGGGGGAAAACCAGAAATTATTTCCTAATTATGTCCTAAGAATAACCTAATGTTGAATTGGTATTCAGAGATGGAAGAGCAAGCATATTGGTAACTACAGAAAAATAGTTTAGAAACTATGCATTTTGATAATCAAGTATGGAGGGTTATTGAAAAAGAAAGGGAAAAAAAGGATTAGTTCTTTGTCCTTTGATATCTTGGAAATTCTTGTAAAAGGATTTTTAGAATATTTAGAATGATAAAATCAGATGAAGGAAAAAAAACCAAAGGAAAAAGAAAAAAAACTATAAATAAGGTAGAAAGAAATAAATGAAGTTTTATTAAACTGAAGCAAATTATGCCACGCCTACTGCATTACAGTTAAACAACATCTTGTCTCTATTTTCACATCCTTGATAGGTTTCACCCTTTTGTAATCAAGAAAGTACATGTTTAAAGAAACTGGTAAATGTTGAATTTAACGGTGAAATGTTAACACCATTTTAAGGTACAACTGACTTTCATTATAGTTAGATAATTTCTTAATTTCTATCTCTGTGAAATTGTTATTTATATGGGCAATTAAAACCAACTTTGGCATACAATTTCATCAATGATCATCATGGTGCTGAGATATAAGATGCCATGAGAAATATTTATTGTTATGCTGTATCTTCATCCTAGGAAGAAGTAAGCTAGTTGAGCGAGGATTGATTTGCCATAATTAGTACTTACCTTTCTGTTAAATACTTTGCTCAAGAAAGGGGAGAAGTATATGTTTTCTAACACAAAAAAGGTAGTACTTTTAGGGAATATGAATTCAAAATTATGCTTTTTCTTTTCTTATTTTTCATTCCTCGAGAGTCTTCCTACATTCGAATTTTTATATTGACACAAAAATTCTGTAAATACTGTTATAACCTATAGTTTTATATTAGAAGTATTCATAATTTGTTGCTTTTGGACAAAGTCCATTTCAATTTCTAGATTAAAGGACAGGTTCATTGTACACCTTAAGCATCTTATATGTTTTAAGCAGAATAGAGTTAGAATGAGTTTTTGAATATAAAAAAGTATTTTCCAAGTGAATTTTACCTCAGCAGATATATGCATTTTTATGTTAGTTTGACTCTAGTTTTTGGTGTAATCAACTAAAAAAAAAGTTAATTATATGAAAAGTAAAGTCTTTTTATAAATCAGTAAGAAAACTGTCTTTTCTAAAGTTGCTCTTGAATTATCTTAAAAGGCAGCATCATTTCAAAACAAAGTACAGAATAAAGGGTCATGTATAAGATCTTCTAGCTTAAAAGGTCTTCGAATACATATTCTTGGATCTGCAGAAACATAGTGACATCTGTCTTTGATTATAGTTACATGGACAAATTTGAATTCTAGAGCTGTATTTAAAACATTTCAACATACACAATGATATTATGTTCCTGGAATATGGCACATGGTGGTTATTTTTAATGTAATTATAGATGCCTGAAATAAATTATTAAAAAGAAGACACTCATAGTAAAATCAGAAGTTCTCATGGTTTAAGTCATGTTTATCTAAGAAAATTCAAAATAAACTATTTGAATAAAGATTTCTGTTTGTTTCACAATTGTTCAAATTAACTTTACAGAAACTGGTTTAATTGCTGAAATGTTTAGTTTCTTTATTGACATTGTGCTTCTAAATTGTTAGACATTAAAGTGAATGAGAAAATGGGTGTTTTTTTGAGGTGTTTATTTTAAAAATATTAGAAGGATACTAATACAGGAAAAAAATTTGCTATGAATCTCTTTTCACAGTAGTCCTGGGTTCCTAGCCATGTGAAGTTACAATCATTTTTAATCTGTGTATTCTTTTGTTACATTTTGAAGGTTGTCTTAAACTTTACTACGATGGACCTATACAAAAGTAGTTTGTGCTGGTATGATTACATTGAAGTAAGAGATGGGTACTGGAGGAAATCACCTCTCCTTGGTAAGAGATTTTTTTGCCTCTTATGTGGCTATGCATGTAGTCTGTCTTGTCCAGAGACAATTCTTTCAAGAGTTATCTTAGGGTTTAAAATGTATGAGACCAGCATTTTAATTTTTCTTATACTTTTTTCAATCACAGCAAAAATACTCACAGACAGATAGATAAATAGACAATTAATTGATTTAAACCAGTTTCAATTATGAGGTGGTATTTGGACCTGAACATAATGATTTAGAATAGCTTATAGTGAATAATCATCACATATTCTGTATTTTTAATTTTAAAATCAGAGTTTTAATGAGTAAACCAGATAAATTGTGTATTTGTGTGTGTATGTTGTTTTGCTTTGTTTGCTAAGGCAGTAGAGCATGAGCTGTTAGGTACACATTTGGTTACTGGCTTCCTGCACCAAGGATATTGGTTCCTATTGTAGAGGTCACAGTTTTGCTACTCAGGTTTTTGTGGCTGAGAAGGTGCATCTGTAGTTTGTGTCATAAATTGTAGCTCACATTTGGTGCTCATGAAAATATGCTACCAACATTTAACCACAGACCACATCACTAACTAACATTAGGCACTTTCTGTTGCCCTCTGTTTTACTTAAAGGTGAGAGCTGCTGTGAGCATGTGAGCATCTACTCTACTGACTTTTTTTTGAGATTTTACTTCTATTTTTAGAAGTAGCTTTACTCAGCTGTGTTTATTTGCCTACATATCTTTTCTTCTTAACATCTAAAACCTGCTGAATGGACACTGTTTTATTAAAAGTGACAGCAGCCTTAGTAAGTCCAAGAGATCTGTAGAAATGCTTAAAAATAAGGAAAAATTAAGATTTGCGCTAATTTGATAAGTCAGGATGAGGAAAACATTGTATTGAACATTTAGTTTCTTAGCCTAGATGAAGCAATTTGTAATATATGTATGTGTGTTCCAAAGAAAACATTTCATTAAACTCATATTGAAAAACCAATTCTAAAACTGAAATATTGAGAACACTTTTTAGAGCACCATCAGCATTACACACTGCAGGGTATAATGGCCTAACAGACTGGCTTAGTCTGACTACAATGCTCATGTGGAAAGCTTTCCCCACTATTTCCTCTGAGACCTTGTTCCTCAGAGTGTAGCTGTCACACTGGCAGCATCAGAATCACTTAGAAGGTTAGAAGTGTGGAAATGCAGGTCCCACTCCGTACCTTCTGAACCAGAGACTGCATTTTGACAGACTCCCTGGCAATTCATATGCACATTATAGCTTTTTCTCTTTTAGTCAGGTTACTTTCTTCCAGTTTCCTTTTTTAAAGAATTGAAGTATAGTTGATTTACAGTGTTGTGTTAGTTTCAGGTGTACAGCAAAGTGGTTCAGATATAGATATATATTATTTTTTCAGATTATATTCCATTACAGGTTATTACAAGGTTTTGAATATGGTTTCCTGTGCTTTACAGTAAATCCTTTTTGTTTATCTATTTTATACATAGTAGTTTGTATCTGTTAATCTCATACTCCTAATTATCCCTCTCCCTCTCCCTTTCCCACACATTACAGTTTAAGGGACATTGCTCTGTTTTACATGCCCCTAATTTACTTTGCCATTTAAGGAGACATTTTTTCACCTGCTATCTGTTAGTATGAATTTGTTTTAAGTTGACTGACATTTTTCATATACTAAAACTATGTATGACATCATTACCAAGGGTACACAAAAATGGATGACAATATATTATTCTTTGTGGAATTATTTAATGTGCATTGTCATATTTAACTTTCTGTCATCATAAAATCTTAGAGCACAGTAGCAGATATACAGTAAGCAACGAATATTTGTGGAAGGTTGAAGGAGGGAAGAAGGAATGACAGGCAATAATATATTTGCTCAGTATTATACTTGCCTGTGGATAAACAATCAGAAAAAAATTAGAACTCATTATTAAGTCTTCTGATACTGTTTGCCATTCTGCCTACTACACTACATACTACAGCTTTATAGATGAGATGTATGTAGTAACATAAGATCCTTGGGCAGTCTGTGGGTTTCCCTGACAAGTCGCCATTGAACATGGCTAAACAAAGAACTATACTTTGAGCTGTCACTTCCCTACTAATGACCAAACTGAACATTTGAAGCAGTTTTTCAGGATCACTTGTACTTTTTTCTGTTTTCCGTAGAATATTCCCCACCTTGATATATCGTGTGTCATTTTACAAATAGGACATGTTTTGAGCTAGCTGTTTCTTAATTCTACAGATAATGATACTGACATCAGTCAGTTAATCTGAGAGTGATATGTTCCAATATTCTATAAATAAATATGAAGAGATTTATTTATCCACCTTTATTAAGTAAATATTAAAGAATAATTATGGCTCTAGTTCCTAGGGGTAGATACAGGAACCAAATCAGGTTTTATGTATGCAATTTGTAGCTAGTATGAAAAGCAATTAGAATATAAAGTCATATTTAGGAGTCTCTTTATTCTTTTATTTCTTTTAGGTAGATTCTGTGGGGACAAATTGCCTGAAGTTCTTACCTCTACAGACAGCAGAATGTGGATTGAGTTTCGTAGCAGCAGTAATTGGGTGGGAAAGGGCTTTGCAGCTATCTATGAAGGCAAGTCACATTGAGTTTAGAGATGGCTTCTTCTTAGACCTCTAAAGAGAAATATCCTTTCTCTCAATTAAATTAGAATGATATTGTAACTGTATTTCAATTACAAAATTTTCTAAACCTGTATTATAATGTTCATTATGATGATTTTAATAAAAATACTCGGTAAATTTAAACTGCAGAAACAACCTGCTTTCTGGTACCAGTAATGTGGTAACATGTAAATGTACTCATCAGGGATGTGTGGGGGAAAAAAATACTCATTATAGAGATGTGTGGAAAACAACAGCAACAACAAACGGCAAAAGAGTTCTTAAACTTCGGTTGTTTTTTCATGACAACATTAAAATGTTATGAAGAAATTACCACTTCTCTTTGTGCTGAGTTTGTATGTGTTTGATGCCTGTACCGCGGAAATGCCTTGATAAAGGAAACTACACAGAAAGTAATTGCACACAGTTCTGGAGCTTGCTTTGTCTAAATGAGAGTGTCAGCATTCAAGAAGAATTTACTAGAGGCTTTGTTCTATATGTATCTAAATCAGTAAACTGGCATTGTGCTTCCTGGCTTTAAAAACCTTCTTGCCAGATCGTGGGTAGAGAAGACCCTTCTTGCTCCTGCCTCTGCCAGCGCAGAAGTTTAGGTTATTTAGAAGACAGAAGATTTCTGCTTCTCTTAGACTTTTAAGAGGATGGAAGCATTTGTTTTAGAGATTAACTGTGTGGTTGTGAAGAGTATGGTTTGGATGGAGCCACAGATGTTGAGCACGAGGGCCGCTCACAGCCAGAGGCCCAGAGAGTTTTGTGGAGCTTCTCTCCTGATCAGCTTCTCCACTGAGGTAAAAGACCTAAAGAAGCAGTTCAGAGAGTCAGAGAAAACTCACATAGAATAAATTACAAAATCTCAAAAGGTTTTTAAAGTTTTTCTTTTAAATGCTTGTTTTTGTAAAAATGTGAATTAACAGTGATAAAAAATCATATATTCCTCTGCTGACTGTTATCTAATATCTATAGTTAAGTGGCTAGGTTTTTTTTTTTAACCAACTAAATATTTACAACCAGCCAACCTTGATTTTTATAACCTGGTTTTTATGTACTCAGCTCCAGGCACCAAACTAAAATGTTATCTTAGAAGCAAATGAAAATGAAATGGCATGTCTAGGTTTATTTATTTGTTTATTTTTGCTTTCCTCAGCTATCTGTGGAGGTGAGATACGTAAAAATGAAGGACAGATTCAGTCTCCTAATTACCCCGATGACTACAGGCCGATGAAAGAATGTGTATGGAAAATAGCAGTGTCAGAAGACTGCTATGTTGGGCTGACCTTTCAGGCCTTTGAGGTAAAGTCCTTCAGGCAGCCTTTGTGGGGCACATCCTCCATAAATGACAGTGCATTTAAGGGATCCTCATTAAAAAAGCAAAGAACTAGAGAATCAGCTTTTTCATCAACAAAGAAGCAAAGGATTGCCTATAAAATGCAACATCAAGAGCGAAAGAGGTTTTTTTTTTTCTTCTTTCCTCTTACTGCAGACATTTTCAAGAAGATTAAAGTGAGTTTACATTATCTGTGCTTTTTGAATTAGAATGTTTGAAGTACTGTCTATAGTTTCTTTTGACAAATGACCAGGCTTGTTTCACAAGAATGCTTGAAGAGTCCATTAAATAAAAAACTTTTATTTCTCTTCTAAACCAAGAGGTTAAAGGTAGATCATCTTTTTTGTTGTTGTTACAGTGTAAATCCATTTTTCACCTTTTTATCATTATGCAGAAAATTATTTATAAAAAAAAATGGGGATTTAAATATTCTTAGGAGCTTTTGACTTCATCAAAAATATTTATTGGGGAAGAGATCAGCACCGACATTGCATTATTAGATGAGGGCAGAATAAACCAAAGGCCAGTCAGAGTCCTGGAGCAAAGTCTGCAACTAAAACTACTGCACTAGCTAATGAGTCATTTTTGTGTAGTGGGGAGAACTGAGTGAGGAATTAGAAGCTAAGAGATATGGGAATTGTCAAGAACTCCTGAGCATGTTTAAATTACAGAATCAGGCTAGAAATTGAGAGCCCAAGGTGGAGTAGGAAGGAATGATGAGGTGCTGGCAGTAGGTCCAAGAAAGAGTTAGAGATCCAGATGCCATTACTGGAGAGTATTTCTTTATTGAAATTAGAAGGCCTACTTACTGTCCAAGTGATCAGAAGGCCGGTGTAGAGAACCCCATTCATTGCCAGGATGTGCTTGCCACTGAGTGTGGTGACTGTGTGGTGTCCCAGTCCCTATAGCAGGAGCCCCAGGGGAATCCAGGTGTTACTCAAAAGCCCAGAGAAACTCATACCCCCACCTGTAAACTGTGTAACATATTTTTTGGTATTGTCTCTACCCCTTTGCATGTACCTTCTAATTTTCGAGACATATTTCTTTTTAATCATGAAAAATCTCTCTTTTATGCTGTGATCATGATGTTTATGCCCCTGACCCCTTTGCATTTTTGGAAACCTTGGTTCTGAGATTATCTGATTCACATTTATTTTTAAATTTTATTGGATTGCAAACATTATTCAAATAGAACACTTTATTGTAAAGAGTAAACTAAAATTGGGTAGGACTCACTTTTTAGACCAAAACAACTGGTTCATTGAAAAATTATCTAATGACCACATTACATGTGTTAATATTTTGTGCTATTGCAAAAATTAAGTGATGAACTGCCTTTCAATATATAATTCAATGTTTTATAGAATTCTATTATAGTAGTGATGTCAGCAAATACATTCATTCCATGCATCTAAAAACTGAGATGCAGAAATTGCTGGCTTAGCTGGTTTGCAGTTTTTTTTTGGTTTTCTGGGGTTTTTTCGTTTGTTTTGATATATCAATATAGTAAGAGTGATATTATTCAAAAATAGGATAATGTAAGGACAAATAAGAAAGATTTACACCTCATGCACTTAAAACTGTGCCTGACACAGAGTAGTCATTTAATAAATACTTGTTGATTAAGTGAATGAATAAGTTATTGCTAAGCTTTGGAAATGAGGTAGAGTCATGTCACAGTTTGGCTGATAGTACATTTTATTTATTACCTCTAGTTTCCTGTCCTTTCTTCATTTTGCTTTATTTCCTTATGTTTTTCCTCCTTTATTTATATGCTGGACATATTTGAATGTCTAGTAGGCCTCTCATCTTTAACTGACTAACATCAAGCCTTTGATTGTCTTGTTTTACTCACACTAACCCACTCACCTTCAGTCTTCCCTATTTCAGTATTTAGTGTTTCAGTATGTCACTATTTACTCAAGGAATATCCCTAATTCCATTTTTTGTCTTAAACCCCAAGGCCAATTAATAAGCATATTCCATTTGCTTTGTCTCCAAAATATACCACATACATGACCACTTTATACCTACTTTCTGGCCACCACTGTTGCAATCACTGCCTCTTGCTTTGGAACTTTGATGAGCTCTTCACATCTCTACCCTTGCCCTACATATCCTGATATCCACACAACAGCTGGGATGATACTTTCACAATGTAAGTTATATCAAACACTCCTCTGCTTAAGGTTTTATCAAACACTACTCCCCATGTGCCTCATGGAGAAAATCTTTGTGTTAGACTTTCAGGCGTGCATTATAATGCTGTTGGCCATGAGTTCACTGTTAATGAATTTGAATATCTGTGAAGGTACCTTTAAACAGAAACACACATAAAGCAAGGTTAAGTATTGATTTGATGACAAAAATTTTGTGACCAGAAGCTCTCAGGAACCTAACCCTGTATCTCTCCAGGAGCCATGAATCAGTATTCACTAACTCAGTGTTTTCAGTGACTTTGTTGAACTCAACTACTGCTAATACTGAGAATTAACTGTATATATTTTTAATTTGGTCTAGTGGTCATTAGGTGGTTTGTTTCAGTTACTCAGTTATCTGTTTATATCAATTTGTTTTTGTTTACATAACATTTTCAATATACAGCTTATGCATTTTATATTTAAAATGTATAATTTTAAAAATATCTTCACTATTTCTCAGTGTTTTGTGTCTTTCTCTGACAAAACTGTTTTTATTCACTGATATCAGTCTTTGACTTTTTCAAACACTTTCTATTTTTGTAACTCTTTTATTCCCTATGTCACCCTCTCCCTTTTCAGATAAAAGGGCCCTTAAGATAAGCTAGTTCTGTTGAAATCTACTATAAAGAACTTACTGGCTGTTCATTATTTATGCCTTTCTGTGAATTTATGTCATGAATATTCACCTCTCCTAATGCTACTTAGATTTTAATGTAAGTACAGAAAGAAATCTGAACAAGTGCTTTTGTTAATGAGGGTAATAGAGTCCTAATACTTCTGTAATCATCACCTTTGGGAAGATTTTTCTTCTCTAGTAGTTACTGGTATGTTGACTCTTAAGACCAATACTGAAGTGAGTTTGTACATGAATGTAGATAATGTCTAAAATCATTTTGAAGAACTCGTCTTCTCTTCAGCAGTGGTGTTATTTGTAAAAAAGCCTCTATACTACTATTTCACTTGAGAACTTTCAGTATGCAGAAATACATAAGAGAAAAAGTTGGGGAGATTTTAATAGTACAACTTCAAACAAATGTCAGTAAAGCAGGAAATAAGTGAAATAAACCCAGAGCTTAGTTATGTTTAATTAAAATCCCTACATACATTTATTTAAGTGAGATTACATTTGAGGTACTTATCAATATTTCTACACACTGTGATTTGGTTATACTTTCCTTTTGAAAACCATAGTATATAATAGTCTTTCCCATAATTACTAGCAACATTCTAAACTACATACAAAAGTTTTTTATCTTGGTACAGTTGACCCTTGAACAACACAGGTTTGAACTGCAGGGGTCCACTTATATGTAGACTTTTTAAAATAAACATAGTACCTGTTATTTTCATTTTACAGATCTTTAAGTGTGGGGGAAAGTTTGTGTTTGATTAGAGAACACAATGTATGGAATCAGAAGAATTAGGGTTTAAGTGGTGAACCTCTGCAAACTATTTCAGCCTCCTTCCCTTGGGTGAGTCATTTATCAGTTCCTTTGTTTTTGAGGCAGAGATAGCAGTTGGCGGTTTTTCAACTGTTCTTGGTTGGCATCCCTAACTCCTACGTTATTCAAGGGTCAACTGTACTTTGTGAATTACCTGATTAAGAGTAATCCTTTAATTCCTTTAAATATTTTATATTAGTTTAAGTTAAGTAGACTAGTCTTTGTGAATGAACTAGGAAGCCAAGACAAGATCTTAATTAGTTAACATTTTAATGCTTGCCCTGCACTATTTTTGGATATTTGGCTAAGAATATATATTGGTTAATGACTGTATAAGAGAATATGACTATATAAGAGCTACTATATAAAGTAGCTCTTCAGAATTATAGTTTAGGCTATCATTCTGCTCTGAAAGATTAGATTAAATAAACTTGCCCAAGGTCACACAGTTCTTAATTGGTAGACTGTGAGTGATACCAATTCCATGGCCTGGCACTCTTACACCCAGATCTTGGTAGCAAAATGAGGCATCTAATTCTCTCATGGCAATAAATTCTCTCCCATCATAACTATTGTCATTTGTACATTTGAGTTGTTTAATCAATAAATGCCTGTCAGTCAGGGACTATGTCTGTTTATTCATCACTGTTTATATACTATCAAGTATATATTTATTATCTGGTCATCATAGGTTTTCAGTGAATATTTATTAAATTTATGAGTTAAAAATAATTGTGTCATGAAGGAAAAAAAAAATCAAATGGCAGCATTGAGAAAACTGAATCATATAAAAATAGACCTAACCCAGACTTATGGTTTTGATTTTCACATGGTTGAGCATTTTGTTTTTTCTCCTCCATTTTTGAGCTCTAATTGTATACATATCAATATTCATTAAGTATTAAATAGTAAAAATAAAACTAATACTAATTAATAAAATATTAAATATGACAGTGATACATTTTAAAATAATCTATTAAACTTTTATCCTTTTTATTTAAAATTCCTTTTGTCATAGCATTTATTACTTAAATTTACTGTATTTTTCTCATTATTAAAATTAATTTATTTTTAATAATAAATGCTAATATTGATTGTTTTTGTTAGTCATACTTTTCTTTAACATTTTACCCCAAAGCAAAAAATAATGACTTAGCGTTTTTCCAAATGTATAGAACTTTAAGTTATATTATCTATAAAAGTTAAATCATTTATGGAGTTGATAGTATGATTATAGTTTGAAATTACATTCTAACACTCATAGAAGACTTTTTTTATTACTATTTTATTACTATTACCATCTTAACTATTTTTTAAGTGTATGACACAGTAGTGTTAAATACATTCACATTGTTGTACAATCAACCTCCAGAACACTTTTCATCCTGCAAAACTGAAACTCTTTACCCAGTAAGCAACAACTTCCCATTTCCCCCTCCCCCCAGCCCCTGGCAATCACTCTTCTGCTTTATGTCTCTTTGAATTTGACTATTCTGGGTACCTCATGTAAGTGAAATCATACAATATTTGATTTTTTGTGTCACTTTTTAAAAATTTCACTTAGTGTAATATCCTCAAGGTTCATCCATGTTATAGCACTTGAAAGGATTTCCTTCCTTTTTATGGCTAATATCCCATTTTATGTATAGACCACATTTTGCTTATCCATTCATCCACTGATGGACATTTGGATTGCTTCCACCCCTTGGCTATTATGGATAATGCTGATATGAACATGGATGTACAAGTATCTCTCCAAGACCCTGCTTTCAATTTTCCAAATATAATACCCGGAAGTGGAATTGCTGAATCATATGGTAATTTTATTTTCAATTTTTCAGGGAGTACGGGAGAGTTTTACTGAAACTATTACCTAGAAACTTTGGAGTTTTCAGAGGTTTTTACAAATAAGTAGGTATTGCAGTAGATGTTTTTGCGATGTTATATTTATTTGGAAATTTGATTGTAAAATGAAAGCAAAGTGTGTGAATGGCCCCTGAGCCTGGGTATGGTATCTTGCTCCAGGGCTGGCATTCCTTCAGTCTTAGAGCTCCCCCACATGCACTGACCACAAAGCTCTGCATTGGTTGGCAGTGTTAGAATGAGAGGCTGACTACTTTAGGTTACTTTTAATTGATTTTAGTTCTTGCTAAATAAAATAACTCAGCTTTTTGATGCTTCCTCTCTAACCTGCCAGTAAAGACATGGACCCCCCACACTTAGTAATGAAATGTAATATTAATCCCTTCTGGCTAAGCTTTGTACTTATTCTTCCTTCTTTGCGTATTTGGATTTACTTCCAATATCATTTATATATCAGTTTTCCAAAACAATCTTCAGAGCTTAATGTCACTTTCACTGTTTTCTCTATATACATATTAGGTCTGTTTACGTTATGATAAACTTGCCACATTCCTATATGGTTTGTGTTCTGATTACCTTAAAGTCTGTAATAAATCAGCATTATCATTACCAAACATATTTATTACATGTCCACGCTTTAAATCAAGAAGAGACTGTTTTTCCTTTTCTTTTTTTTATGAATTACTGACTTTGGTGTTCTTCTTCTCATGGTACCTAAGGTTACTGGCATAACATCAATGAACTTATCCACTTTTTAGCTTCAACCATATTTATTTCTTCAACTATATTTATACTAATTGATAAAGTAATCGATACTGCTGGAGAAAATGTTACACAAATAACATAAAATAACTCAAACTCTCATTTGTGCTCACCATCATTACTGTTATGTGGATGTAGTTGAAGAGGTATAATTATAATTAACACCAATAGAGAAGATTTATTGTGCTGGTATTGCAATTAGGATTAAAATAATTAAACTGGAAAAACATGTAAACAAAGATCATGGAGGTCATTGATATGATATGTAGGTCAACAACCATGGCATTTACTGTGTGAGACTACAGTGTATATTTCTATTGTTTTATCCCTAATACCAGGTGCATAATACTCAATATATAAGTAATATGTAATTCATAAATAGGTACTGGTGGAACCAATCCTAAAATTGGTCATTTTTATTCATTTTACCCATGAGATATTTACACTTTGTGTATCATATAAAATATTTAAAGCTCTAATTTTTACAAAGTAACCAGTGAATATACTATAAATTAAAATTTAAAGAGATTATTGTTTAACTGTTAAAGGAACAGAGTGAGTTTTATATACAGGGAAATACCCGCTATCCTATATCCTTTTAATTACTGATCATATGTAATTTTTTTCAACAGTGTCTCTCTTGTTTTCTTTGTACTGTAATTTTCAAAAGCAGTAATTGCTTCATAAATAGTAATTAAAACCCATTTTAATTAACCTTCTTATTTTTTACTCTGGTATGGCTGCTGATATGAAGCAACGTGATTTTTTTTCTATGAATTAACTTTCCATGGCAAGCAGCTACTTTCTTCATTGTGTGTTCTCACTCCCTTTCCTCTTCTAACTTAGCCTCTTCCCCCTTTCCAAAATAATTCATGTGTTGCAAGCATTTCATTCTGTGCTGCTCAAGCAGGTGAAGATAGATAGGTTGACTTGCTGAGACCTTTGGTTATTTTTCCTACAGTTTTGTTGTTTGTTCAGTTTTGCTTACCCTTTTATCCAGTTGTACACCCTGAGATTTTAGATGTTATTTTATATGTCCCCTTAACCAATGAATAGACTTTGGCCATCTGGAAATGTTCTCATATTTATAGAGAACTCTGATTTTGAAGGGACTGTATTAAAGACTGAGAGAAGAAGGTGTGTTATAGCTGGTCAGATTGGCCTCGTCACCCCAGTGACTAATTTTGTTCCTAGTGAGACTGCTAGCTCTCCCTCACCTCTCTATTTAACAGCTACTGTCTCAAAAGTATACTTTAAATAATGAGATAATTTTCATGTTAAATATTTTCCAATTCTTTCCCATAATTCCACACACGAAGAGAATACATTTTTAGGGAAAAATCTGGATTTATGAGTCACGGTGAGCTCCTACTGATAGTAAAATTGCAACCTTCAATCCCGCCACCCCCACTGCTCATACTTCCTATCTTGTTTCATTTTGTGTTCTTCCATAGAATGTATTATTTTCTAATATTTTATGATTATTATTTACCTTGTTTATTGTTCCTTTGCTCTCTACCCACCAGTATAAGCTCCAGCAGGGCGAGGCTCTGTTATTTTGATGAATGATGCATACTAAGCAGTGAGAAGAGTGCACAGAACAGAACCAGCACTGAATATTTATTGAAGAAATAAATGAATCCTGATTTGTGATTGGGAAAAGGGCAGCAGCAAATGCAGTACTTAGTTCTAACCAAATCTGCTTCAAAATCTATTTTTTTCTGTTTGTCCTTATGCTGCCTAATTTGAAGACTATCATTGTTAATGTATTGACAAATCAGGAAATGACTTCTTCAACCAACTATACCAGAAGTTTCATGCATACAGGTTGTAGTTCATAGAATGTGTTCCCTGACATTCATTCTGTAATAGGAGAATTCCATAAATTAGTGAATTGTATGTTGAATGTTGGTTGACAACATGTGATACTTTTCATGGTTTATAATTATAGATGTCAGTGCTTTCCAGCTTCAAATACCTAATAAGTAGTTGACTCTATTAAGACTTCAGAGTTAGGGCCCATTTTCTATGAAAAAAACAAAAGCAAGAATTTATTTAGAAATTGTCTTATAATTTATAAAACAATTTGTAAATTTTCTTTTGTTTTTTGTAGACGTTTAGAGCTAAAACAAAGGTCTACAAACATTCACTTCTTCATAAAGCCAATAGTCTGAGCTAATATTTGCATTTAGTTGTTTAGGAAAGAGATTGAGTACATCCAGGGTGCACAGGTCAAGAATAATGTGTTAAGGTAAAAGTCTCATCTAAACATGCCTGTTATCCTGAGAGGGGCAGCCAGTGCTAGTTCTACAATGGAGTAGTCTTCCCACACAAAGCTATGCTAACTATGGATAAAGGATTTCATAGACTAGGAAGAAATGTAATCCCCATGTTATCAGATTTTGCTTCAAAAAGATATGTATAACCTAAAATAGTGCAACATTTGTCAATAATATGAATTCAGCCACTCTATTGATAAAATAATGATTTTTTGATCAACTATGAGCAATTTTTATAACTATGTTTCAGAACAAATTATGCATTGTTTATAGCATATCTAGCGCAGATTTCTAATGATAATTATTAGTCTGGATTCTCTTAAATTCTATTTTCCAAAGAATTACTACTTGTATTTCTATTTTATTTTAAAAGACAGTTAACTTCTATTGATCTTAGTGCATGTGGATGCACTTTTTCATAGATTTTTTCCTGTCTCTCTAACAGAATAATACATCCTTTATTCATGGACAGTGTAGATATTACCATACACACTCAACAGAAATGCTCTCTTTTGGTATAAGTAATATGGCCATGTTAGTACTATGGCACTGAGAATACATGATACTTTTTTATAGAAATTGTTCTGTCTATTAATGAGATAGATCACATATTTTTACTATTACAGATTGAGAGACATGACAACTGTGCCTATGACTACCTAGAAGTTCGAGATGGAACCAGTGAAAATAGTCCTTTAATAGGGCGTTTTTGTGGTTATGATAAACCTGAAGATATCAGATCTACCTCCAATACCTTGTGGATGAAGTTTGTTTCTGATGGAACTGTGAACAAAGCAGGGTTCGCTGCCAATTTTTTTAAAGGTAATTTGAAATCATTTAAAGTGGAAGCTTTTCTCTGTCAAGGATAAATGTGGTATTTATCTTTGAGTTAGGGGAGAAATAAAGTAATATTGAAGATTGACGCATGCACTATTCATAAAGATATTTTGATGGTTTTTGATGGAATAGTTTACTGGCTATAAAACTGGAATTTGGAGATTTGTAGCACAGGGTAGGAACTCCATTAGGATATTCTACCACCTGTTTTTTAGGAAATAGTCAAAATCCAGAAATATACAGACAAGAGGAAAATATTTGCAATACAATCAACAAAGGGTTCATAACCAGAAGGGGATTACTGATATATAGTTTATCAATTTATTTCCAGGTGGCAGCATCTAAACCATCCCTTAGAGAATAGAATTCTGTCACATTAGAAATAATGTATGGCCTCCTTAGTAGAACATTCTGATCCCTAAAATGTCTTTTTGACATTATTACTGATCAGCTTTAATTTTGAATTGTATAAGCAAATTTTAGTTTATTTTCATGTCCCATGTTTGGTGTGTATTCCTCAGGTAAAAAGAAAGCTATTTTAGTGCAAATAATAACATCAGATTTGTATTTTGAAAATTCATAGGCACTTAGGTTAAGTGTGTTATTATAGAATAAAATTCTTTTATGTGAAGAGAAAATAAATTTTCTCTATAATAATTTTTAAAGAATAAGTGATGGATTCAGTAGTGTATGTCAAAATTTAGTGTGAATAATATCTAGATATTTTCATTATTCAAAGAGCAATAATATAATTGATTTTTCCTGAGCATTACTTAGATGCTCACCATTTGAACCGAAAGGCAGAGAACCTTGGCACTTCTACTATATGTATTCCAAGTATTCATTAAATTGTTCATTTACATGGTTTAAATCTTCTCTATGTTATATTTTACAGTAGAAGAAACATATTATAAGAGTCTCTCTCGTGATGTTTGTGTATTTGCTTAACAAAATGCCTAGTCTTTGGATGATGCATAATTTCTCCAGAGAATATTGTTTGCTGTTTTCCTAACTCACAGTAGGTTATTCCTAAAGAGTGAGATTATGGAGTACCTTGTAATATGTGTTTTTTAAATAGTATATATTTTTCATATGTCTATTTCATATATATTTTCATGTTACCATATACAATTAAAATAGTTTCTGTTTACAAAAATATGGAATTATTGTATTTTCTGGATCAACATATCTATATAAAAAGCAGTGAATGTTTTCAATTTAAAGAGGTCTATTAAGTTTCATAGTTTTCCTTCTTTTTAATTTTTAGTCACCATATTTTATTTCTTAATAATGATATTACTTTAAAAGCATTTCTTCAGGCTACCTAGCAAACTATACAATGAAATGAACAGGTGAATCCATGTTTTTTCAGTAAGTTTTTCTATTCCATTCTGAAAAATCTCTAGGTTTTAATAATCCTCTTTAACTTTAAAGTCAGAAAAAAACATACTGTGTCTGAGATGAGGTGATCTTCAGTTGGACCAGTCCTTCTGGTTCTTACACAATTAGATTGCAGTGACATGGGTTCTTCTATGTCATCAGTCAAGGGCTTGCAAATTGTTCCTCTTCCTTCGTTGAAGAAATCAATTGTCTAATTGTCGCCATTTTTATAGAGGAAGACGAGTGTGCCAAGCCTGACCGTGGAGGCTGTGAGCAGCGTTGTCTGAACACACTGGGCAGTTACCAGTGCTCCTGTGAGCCTGGCTATGAGCTGGGACCTGACAAAAGGACCTGCGAAGGTGGGACCAGATTTGCACGTGGGTTTCCCTGCCTGAAACCCCTACCCATTTCCTTCTATCATGTAGTCTCATTCTCCTTCTCTTTTTATGCCTCCCTCTTATACTAGAATAAAATAGACACAGTTATGAAGAAAATACAGTATCTTTAAAACACAGGACATTGTATTCCAGATAATAATGAAGTTATGTGGCTGTTATTTCCACATGACTACTAAAAATAAGTACACTTTAGAAACTTACCAGATATGGTAAACCTGAGATTATAGGTAGTTTAAAAATATATTTATAAATATAGTAATATTTATATTAGTTAACATACATATCCACATATACATATGTATGCCTATATATGCAAAGGCAATTCAAGAGACCAGTTATTTTAGCTAACTCTTGACTCCCTAGGAATTAATTAGGAACTGTGTACAATATGTTCATTTCACTTAACTTGCTTTTGAAACCCTAACTTTCCTAATTTCACTATCAATAAGAAAGAGAGGTAACATAAATAGTACCTCTTTTAAATAGATCATCCTAAAGAGAAAGAAAACCAGTTGCTAAATGGAGTTTGGGAATAACAAATATGCTCTATTTACTATAGTTTACCTTGCCTTCTAGCTCAAGTAACTCCTTCCTTGTCTTGGAAACAAGTAACAAGTTCCTTGTCTTGGAAAAAAAAAAAGAGTTTGGGGAAATAAACAATTGATTTTGGTCTTAATACATCATGCTGTATTGTACTTTACATATACCTTTTTATTAATTCTCACAACAATCGTATGGTGTAGGTATTATTATACACACTTAAAATATAAGAAATCTGACCCCCAGGTTTCTTTATATTGCTCGCCCAACTTTGAAGCGATCTAAAGTGTAAAGCCATCATTTTCTTCGCTCCATATCTACAAAATAACACTTTATAAATTGGATTAGATGATTAAAATAGTTGTACTAAAGATTAAGGAATAGAGACTGCAGCTTTCTAGATTTTGAAAAATCCAGAAGATGGTTGAAATTTAATGCTGAGATGTTTGATTATCAATGGAAAGGTGCTAAGAAGGGGGTAGATTTATTAGGGGAAACCTCCCTTTTCTTTCTTTCTAGCGGCTTGCGGAGGACTTCTTACAAAACTGAATGGCACCATAACCACTCCAGGCTGGCCCAAGGAGTACCCTCCCAACAAACACTGCGTGTGGCAAGTGGTGGCACCAACACAGTACAGAATTTCTATGAAGTTTGAGTTTTTTGAATTGGAGGGCAATGAAGTAAGTGAATAATAAATATATTTTTTTATAAAGTATTTTAGGAATCCCTAAAGACAATCTGGTAAACTAAAAAAAAAAAAAAAAAGAGAGAGAGAAGAAGAAAGGAAGGAAGAAGGAAGGGAGGGAGGAAGGAAGGAAAAAAGGAAGGGAGGAAGGAAAATTGCAGTAGTACAATAGTATAAATGCTGTAGTCTTTCTTTGCTCTATTTCTCATTTCTGCAACTGCTTATAATTCCTGCTGGCATTGGATGATATTTTAGACTGTCTCTGGGAGATTGAAAATTACCCCCCAGCATTTTCCTGATTTATTAAAGTACTATGAAAATATTAGGGTAACGTCACATAGATTTTTCTAGAAAAAATAAACCAACATTCACTTGTTGAGTCATAACGAAAATACTTTTTTGGGAAAACCTGGTATATTTCACTTGTGGAAATGGGTATATTTTCATTATATAAGTAGTTTTTCATTATGAGTATGCTTATGGTTCACAGATAAAGTGAGAAAGATAGAGAAGAAGAAAGAAGTATTTTTAACTTCAATAAAACATGTATTTAGTTGACACTATCTTCCCTTTGCCTTTATAGCTTACCATAGTAAACGTCCAGTTTTCTGTCTGGTGATCACTTTTAAACAAATGAAATCATTTATTTGAGAATTCCTGTGTGCTGGTACATACACACCAAATTCAAATGGAATGTCAGGCCTAGAGATGACAACTTTTAGAACTGTGTCTTGTGTGATCGGTCAACATTAAGTCCAGAGAAAATGTAATAAATGTTTGTTCTATTTCAGCTTTTCTACTTTCTTTTCTTTTCTCTAACTCCCACATCCTTACTCCCAACAACTTTTTTTTCCTGTGTTTATTTTTAAATGAATGAGATCCAAAAGTATGATAAAATTCACTCAAAAATTATTTTGTCTTTGATGTATATCTGTTGGACACTCACAGAGAGCTGAGAGAACAGAAATATAATGTATCTGTGCTCCTGGACAATAATTGTTGGTAATATTTGTGGGTTTTATACCGTAATTTTGTCTTTGTGTATGTATCTTTGCTTCTTCTTTTTTCCCCTCCCACTTATCCTTCTTTCTTTTAATCATTTTTTAAAATTCTATTTGTAGTAGTCAAGGCACTTCTATGGTTTTGAGTTAAAAAGAAGTGCAGACTTTTGTGTTGCTTAAAGAAAATTAAAATATGCAGTGTAATGCACTGATATTTCAGAGAATTGTACAATTTTAGAGCTCATTTTGAGATCTTCTTTACATCATGTAAGCTTTATGATGGAAAAAACTGCAATTTATACTTCTTACATAATTTATCCACATGAAACATCATTTTTCTTTAATAATTATCTTAAATTTGGGGAAATATTAAAATTAAGAATGTATTTTTATAGTAATCTTAAAACAGCTTTCATATGAGCAACACGTTTTGAAAATGGGAATCTCCCTGCCAGTTCTTCAATGTAATGTGAGCTTAGTATTGAATGGCTTCTACTTTCTCAGTTTCCCTAAAGCTGTTGGTTGTGGCAGAATGGCATTTTGATTCACTAATTGATAGATGTTCCTAAGAAGGATAAACGTTTATGTTTACGAGGAAGAAGGGTAGATGGTTTAAAATAAATGGGGCATTGTGTTTGAAAGCATTTTTCTCATGGTAGCAGTCTTTATTCATAGAAGGAGCCTTTAAAAACTCTGTAACATATCCTGGAATTCTTAAACTTATGATGAGGTTACTGTGTGGAATCCTATTAATAAAATTCTGTGCATTTTCATAGTTTAAAGTCTTGAATATTTAAAATAAAATCATGAGCAAAATCTCGACTTATAGAATACTGGGTTAAGTTATAACTTCATTGTTTTATTCATTTTACTGATATCTAAAAAGAAAGTCAATATCAAACAACTTTAGCTTCGGTAACATTATCCCATCTTGTGTCAGAGCCCTCTCTAAATAAAAGTTGCAGTTGTAACAAAGTAGATAGAAAACTTATTTCATTTTTCCTAGCAACATTTTGCTTATTTATCACCTAATTAATATCACAAGAGCCAGTAATTTGAGTTGACATATTGCAAAGTACACATCATGCCCAGAGTTCAATCATATGCTTTGTTAAACAATTATTCATCGCAGTTTTCCTTAAGTCTGTATTTTTTGGAAAATATGTATGCTGTAAATACATATATACAAGCATACATTTGTATATACATCTCTTGGGGCTATTCGGAGCAAAATTCTCTCATCTGTCTATCATGCCTTCTGCTTCATATTTGGACATTTTTCTTGATTTTTGGACCTGTTAAGTCCAGTTTGACTACCACAGGAGTAAAGAGGGAAAAACACAGTAAATTTAAAAAAAGTAAATGTCAATCATCTGATGCTCTCAAATCTGGTGATTACAGTAACCATGTTTATTTCTAGGTTTGCAAATACGATTATGTGGAGATTTGGAGTGGTCTTTCTTCTGAGTCTAAATTGCATGGCAAATTTTGTGGTGCTGAAGTGCCTGAAGTGATCACATCTCAGTTCAACAATATGAGAATTGAATTCAAATCTGACAATACTGTATCCAAGAAGGGTTTCAAAGCACATTTCTTCTCAGGTATCAGTATTCTCATGCTACATGTGTATATTACAGATTTTAAAGGTGGATTGGCTTAAATTGTATGCTATCCATTCTTCCCAGTTTTCTCTAAATGAACTTGGAGATACATAGAATGCATGAACATTTATCCTAGTTTAATACTTTTTTAAAATTGGGATATTAATAAGAATGGCCCTGATGAAATGCACCCCTCAAACACTTAGATCTTACATAAATTCTAATCAAATATTTCAAAGGCTAGTAAAAATAACACAAAATTATTATGGTAATATTTTCACACAGTGACTTTATAAGTAGATAGCGATAATGATACCAGACTTCCAAAAAGTGGCAGACTTTTTCAAAATTATCTTTGTCTTTGGAATATGTGGTCTCATTTTAGCAACATATTTTTTATTCTTACTGCTTAGCAACATGTTTATTATTCCTCTTCTTACTATTATATATTCATTCCTTTTATTAAGCAGACGTTAAAAATCATGCTTTACCTCATCATTATAGAAATGATTGCAGTAAGAGACCTAGAAATATGGAAATTATAATTTTACTAAAAATAATATATTATTGGATACATTTAGCAGTTGACATGTCTACATTTGGAATTTAATGTTTAGTTGAACCAACTCACATTAAAAATTCCCTCTTAAAGAGCTGAAGTTTGATTAAAGGTCCCTAAATTTTAAGAAACTAGATAGAAACATCAGTGAAATGCCCTTATTTTCCCAATTTCAAAATTGTTCCTTTTAAAAATATTACTCTGAAACTTCAAAATTAGATAAAATTGTAATGAGCCTTGCTAGATATAGCAATCTATTCTGCCTGAAAGACTGGCAAGCAATGTAAAGCAACTGAATTCCAATTATGTTTTAATATCAGGTAATTTAGATTGAGTTAATTCAAAGTCTATTTATTCCAGTCCCCATGTATTTAAGATTAATGAGATTTACAGTGCCTGGGGTTTGTTTGGGGCTTTCAGTGTAATTGAAATTAATGGTTCACAAGTTCCATTGAGGTCCAAGTCATATAGGAAAGTACATTTAAAATACAATGGATCTTGTCTCCCTTGTTCTCATTCCCTTCCTTCCCTCAGATTTAATTGCCTTTTAAAAGTTCTTCTCAGATATAGAAAACAAACTAGTGGTTATCAGTAAGGAGAGGGAAGGGGGAGAGAGGCAAGATAAGGGGAGGAGATTAAGAGGTAAAAACTATTATGTATAAAATAAATAAGCTGCAAGGATGTAATGTACAGGGAATATAGCCAATATTTTATAACTTTAAATGGAGTATAATCTATAAAAATATTGAATCACAATGTTGTTTACTTGAAACTAATACAACATTGTAAATTAACTATACCTCAATATAAATAAATAAATAAATAAATAATAAAAATCATTCTCAGGCATTCATTTAAGATTTGTTATTCAAAGTAGCATTTTAATATACTATTTTAATGAAAGGAAGACTTCCTTAGACTTTACTATTCTATAAATATTATGCAGTTTACAAATTTTAGGTGATCCAGTGTTTAGAGATAAGGCTTCTTATCTTAGAACCACCTAAATATTTATTTTAAAAATTAAAATTATAAGGTGAATAGGTTTTATTATATTATTAATATTCAGGATCCTATACTTTAATCACTCATTTTATTTAATAAAACTTTTTTAAAAAGATGCATGCTACATATACTGGTGACAAAGTATAAGTAAACTTAAAGTTCCCCAGAGTATTTAAAATTTGTTATCTGATATTTCTCTTCAGGCAAAACTTCCTAAATTCTAAAGACAGGTTATTAGTCTGTGTCTTTAGGACAATAATATTGTTAAGTAAACTGAACAATGAAGTTCAGGGAAAATTAAACCCCAAACTCTCATGTTGTAGCTATCATTCTGAGAACCTATTATGCAGGCATACATTATGTCTTTAATAATCAAAGTAAAACTGTAATATTCTAAGTGTTCAGTGTCACAAGGTATTTAACCCCAGTTCATCTTGGGTTCTGTTCTCTTAACCATAAGAGATGATCACATCCTTTGCAAATAGCATTAGTTATGTGTTATGTTCAACATTATCTGTGACCTGGAAAAAAATAGATATACTTTTAAATTCTTTATTAGATTATTATTTTGTAAAGTCCAAGATAATTAAGTATAAACATTCAGTGTTTTCTTTTTGATTCATTGAAAAGTCTTGGCAGTTTGTCAGATTCATATTTAAAATACTATAGTCCTGGATAATTAATTAGATCTATTTTACATTTAAATTCTTGAGAGTTTCTGCTAGTGGGGAAGATGTTTGCTCAGGAAAAGGGAAGATAAAAACATATTTGTTTTGTACAATAAAGAGATGGCAGTGTTACTTAATGTCCTGATTATGATCATCTTACCGAAACATAATTTACAAAAGATCACCCATTATAATATATAGATTCTATTCACATTGAAAATATCATTTTAGAGTTCTAATAATGCTATAAGTGTAATTGTGTGTTAAAAGTCAAATAACTCATCGTATCTATTAGAAAGTAAGCATGTAAATCATGGGGATATTGTATTTCACAAACAAAATTGAAGGATTATTTTATGTTAAAATTCACTCTTGGGGATTTGATAAAACATATTACTGCATTAATTGTGACAAATTATTTAGAAATAAATTTAGCATAGGAATCAAGAATTATTACAATGACTAATCTGTTTGCTCAGAAATTCAATTCTTGGGACTCTTTCATAAAGAAATATTTCAAAATCTGGAAGAAGGATTTTCAATATACTGTGATAGTGACAGAAATTTTAAACAACCTTCAAATGCACTGTGTGAGCTCTTCCATACCATAAGGATGGTTTAATGATTTCATGGTGTAAAAAGTTGTATATGATAAAATATTAATGGAAATCTAGATATAAAGCTATATGTGCACTGTGCATACAGCTAAGCACGTGGGTGGGAACAGATCTGAACGATGCTATTTAAAAATCCCAAGAATGTTTGTGTTAAGGTGAAAAGATAGTGCAGTGTAGTTTCTCCACAATTTTTCTCAGTTTTCATCTGATTTAAATATAAAAATAACTTTAAAAGGAAAACACACATCATATTTCTACCTATCTTTTACCCCAAATATTTTCTAGATTTGAAAACATTACCTAATAGACTTTGATCTTTGAGAGTGAAATTTTTAAATCCATCTATTTGTTAATTAGTTAATAAATATTAATACAAATTAATAATATTAATGCAAATGTTTTGAATGAGTTAAAGCTTCTAATTTTTATTTTTAGTTAATTTATAATATCTTATAGACAATTGAATAAATGTTTGCTGTATTGTGTATGTTAATCCAGAAACATTTGATGGAGACAAACTTTTTTTTTTAACATCTTTATTGGAGTATAACTGCTTTACAATGGTGTGTTAGTTTCTGCTGTATAACAAAGTGAATCAGCTTTACATATACATATATCCCAATATCTCCTCCCTCTTGTGTCTCCCTCTCACCCTGTCTGGAGACTTAATCTTAAGTGGTTCTGTTTATAACCAGTTTTCTAAAAAGTTTAGAAGTGATTATGAATTTATGAAAACATAATGAGAAATATACCATGTTTAGCTATTTTTTCAGCATACTTTTTCTCAGAAATATTATCAAGAAATTCAATTTAAAAAGAAACAATATTTATTATAAGTGATTTCATATATTTTGTAAAGGAAAGCTATTTAAAAATAACTTCTAGCTGTCTTGCAACTAAGTGATACATCAAGGAAGAAAAAACACAAGGAAATGTATTTAGATTTTTAATGAATATAATGAAATAAACTTTAGCATTATTTTAAAAACTACAATTATTTAATGAAATAATTATACTGAGATTTTACTTATTTTTGCACATAGCCTCTGATTTTAAATAAGCACTTTATAGACCTAAGAAATGGAATTGGAAGAATGACACTAAGAACTTATTAGCAAAATAATTAATACAGATTTCTGTCACTTCCATGCACATCAAAGCAAGAAACCATCACATAAATTCTTATTTAATGTCTTAAATTAGTCATGAAAAATGCTGTAGCTTGAAAATCTAGAAGTGATTGGTTTATACAGCAGAATATCCACAAGCTCCTCTATAAAAATTAGTGTCATATAGTTCTGATATTAAGGGTATGTTATGAAGCAATATAATGAAATAATATGAAAGTAAATAAGGAAATTACAACTATAAAAATAAGGCTATTTGAACATGATGTAAAATTACATGTCTATTAAATTTTTTATGTAATTCAGAATATAATGGCATAGGCATTTTCTAGAAGAGATCTGGTTCAACAATATAATACTGCTATTTTCTTGGAATGAATGAGGTTTGTTTATAGATTAACAATAATTACTTTACTTTTATGATAGTAAAACCAAACTTAATTTTATGTGATGTTATATTTGAACACAAGTATACAAATCTGCATAAGTATACATGATATAGTTTACTTATTTTAAGTGATTAAGCAAAATTAACTGTATTCTACTCAGAACAAAATTATTTTTCTTTAAATAGGTTAAACTTAAAGGAAATATTAGTAGGATTTTATGCATGTAAAAGCAGCAACATTTGGGAAACTGGACTTTTAATTTAATCACACTGTTCATTATTTGGGAATAATGTAACAAATAACTTCAGGCAGTGAGAGCTGCGCATAGACATTCCACCTTCTTTAGGCAACCTGGTAGTGGTGAAAAGACTCAATGATGACTTGAAGGATAACCTCATTAAATGGCAGTCCCCCTCACGGGTAACTTAATGGGAACGTGATCCTTTCCTGATGGACCCAGTGACCTGCACAGTAGCAGAAATGCAGTAAAACCCAGATTTCTTGATTCCCAGTTTATTTCTGTCTGTAACAAATATAGGAGTCAGATAAAATGATTTGTGTGATATTTCTACCTCTGTATTCAAGTGATTTCAACTGACCTGTTCCTCGTCTTATCTACCTTTCAGTGTTTATAGATATTTCTTTACATTGTTCCTCCTGTACACCATTTCTTTCATGGAATGGTCATAGGTATTTTTAGAATAAATTCAACCTGATATTATTCTAACAAAACATTAAATTTTAGTGTGATTAATTTCAAATAGAGCTCTCCTATGATTCTGAATTCTGTTCCAAGTTTCATGATAAATGATATTTAAATATTTGCATGTTTTAGAAAGATCAAATTGTCTGTCATTGCTCTCAGTAGAGCTTATCAGAGGTCTTTTGAAGGTGATTATTTTTTCAACAGTTTTGTGTTGAAACCTGTGTGTGTCTTGTATGCGTGCACACATGCATGGGGTGTATGTGTGTATGCATGAATGTGTGTGATCTGTTTATTTTATATTTGAGCATTTATTGTAAGTATATCTGCTCATGTGTTTCTGTTCTGGTGCGTGGACCCTTTACTTCTTTTTCCTACAGACAAGGAAGATTTCTGCAAAGAGAAAATTTTTATTTTTGAATCTTGCAAGAACTTGATACAGGTTGCCACTTCAGTCCCATCCAGTATGTATTATTCATAGACTAATGGCCTCTGATAGTCTCAAGGATACTCTGCAGGCCTCTGATGGGAAAATGCCACTTCCTTTTTCCATAATAACGGACCTTTCCTTCATCTAGCATGAAGGAATGGAAATCAGATATGTCCATTCCGAAGAAGGAGGCTAATTTCCACCTGCAAAGATTAAATGTTTTGATTTCTACTCAATAAAATGTTTGTTTCTCTTACTAATAAAAACTATTTTTTAAATTCCATGCCTATAGTATGAAAATGTTAGAAAATTTCAAATGAATCATTGATAGAATTCTCAATTATTGAATTTGTTATGCAGACTTTCTGAGAAATTTTTAAAACTCTGCAACCTCCTTCCTTCTCTCTTTCTTTGGATTTTCATTGTTCAAAATATTAGTAGTTTGTGTCCTAAGAGGAGAAAAGGAAAGAAAGTGAAAACAGAATTATATTTGCTAATAGTTTTTTTTCCTCAAATTTGATGACCTTTTATAATAAGTTCAGAATATATTTGTGGAACTCATCTTTTATGATATTAAGTTAAATAAATAGCTTTCTTTGTGTGATATTAAAAAGTCTGGATAATTCCAAGTATTCCGATGTTTACTAAAATTTTGTCTTTTCATATTGACTAAGCACAATTTTAAATGCTACTTTGCTGGGGATGATGACTTTTATCTGCTGCTTTTAATTTCTATTTTGATTTGTCCAATTTTGAATTTTAGCTAAGCTTTAGATTAACCTATACATATATTCTAGCAGTGTATTTGATAACTCAATTTTAATGTGACATCACTTGTATTAAGAAATGTTTGATGCAGGGAAGAAGACAGGAAACATTTATCAACTGGAACACTGAAAAATAATAGATACTTAGACAATATGACTATATAAAATCTTCATGCTCCTCCTCCTCTTCTTCCTCATTTTATTCTTCTTCCTCTAAAAATTATTTTTCCAGCACAATAGAAATAGGAAAAACTGGCTACAAAACACTACTATTCAAATATGAATGGTTTCACTTTCAACTTTATTTCTCTTTACTTACTATTACTGCAAGTCAGATTATGTTCTATCAGATCTAAAGAAAATAACTCTCCTTACAAATATCACCTAGCAACATGAGATTTCCACTAGAATGAAGTTTAAATGTTAGAAATATTTTATGTTTTGGAATTGTTTTCATTATAAAATGACTGTAGGTTTAAAAATTCAGCAATACTAACTTGTGTTCTTTCTTTTAACATTTTTATATCTCTCATGTATGGTAGTCTAAACAGATCCAAATAAAAGGATGACTCAGGCAGTCCCTGCCCTGATAGGTTTGTCACTGAGCAACCTGGTTACCAGTCAATTGCAAATGTGAACTAATTTTTTCTAAACTTCTTTACTTACAATTCTTACATTTCCAAACAACCCTCAAAAATCTGACCTTGAGTACAACTAAAGTTCACTATATCAGGTTTTAAGTATACCAAGCAAACATTAGATAAATATTTTTATAGGAAATATGTGTCTATTTCAGAGTAATTCTAGCACCAGAAATTTTTTAATTGGCTCTTTCCTTTTAACAATGATGAAGTGTATTTCTGCATCAACTCATGAAGAAGTATTTTTCCAAAGCATCTTAAGAGCCCCTGGAAAGGTGTGTTAAAATAGTAAATTTAAATCATCTACTGCTTGACTGTCTAAATTAGGAAATGCAGGTAGCTGACAGCATGGTAGTAGGAAGTATGGTTCACCATTCACCCATTCTGCACAGGTCATTCACAACTTACCACATGTAATTTTCACTGTTGATACAATTAAGGTAATGGGACTTCCAAATTATGAATTTCTCTAAAATTAATTTTACAAGGCTAATTCTCTATTAATTTCTGGTTTCTTATATATTTTGATGTTTGATGTTCTCTTAGAGATAAATTTTCTTTATTCTGTGCTTTTTTTCTCCTCTGCTTAGCCTCCATAGTAAGTATTAAAAGTGTAATGGAAGTGTTAACGATAGGTAGAGAACACATAAATTGCAGATATATTGATCCTGATATATTCTTTAGAACTTTGGGACTGCCTGTATGTATATGGAATATTCTTATATTGCCAATGCATGAATTGGCAATATAAGACATAGCATATATGTGCTATGTCGTGTTATCAGTCTACAAAATGGGAAAAAATAGTTGCATTCATAAAAATTACTATCAGATCCTTGGATAAAAATGTCTTTCCTAAACCCATCTCCATAGGGGGAATATTGATTTGATTACAAAGGCAAAAATAACATTTGCTATTTGTGTGCCACCATGAGCTCACAAATTCTCACTAGAAAAATCAGTTCACAGTATAAATTTTGAATTCAGCCTGACCTTTGATGTGACTGTCGTGCGTCCTTTCTGTTCTCTGTGCTATGGCGATGGGGAAGGTCTGAGTGATGTGTCATCATAAGTATGTTTCAGGAGCAGAGGCCAGTATTTACTTTAAAGGACAAGCCAGTCATGGAATGACAGCTAAGCAACATAATATGGTGGCTGATGCCTCTCACTGAATTGACTGTCTGCTAATATAGTTGGGATTTTTTCCCTGTAGTGAATTTGTTGTCTATTTCTTAAAGCTCGTATTTCCTATTCTGACCTTTACTTCTAGCACACTAAAAGCCTTTTTACAGAATTACTTATTAATAAACTGGTCTGCTAGAGGAGATTAGTTTAAAATATATAAATTGTTTCTTTTTAAGGATAGTCTAATGATGCCTTATTCTGTCTTGAAATATTATAAAATGTTCAGATTTATTAATGCTAAGCATAACTGCAAAGTTAATGAAAAAAATCAACTACAGTAATTATACTGAGTGATTTTTACAAAACGATTACACACAAATCTTGGAAATGTGTTTAGCCTCTGCCTATACACCATGGTTAATATAGTGAAGGATTTCCCTCCACTTAAATGCCATGATTTGCATTTAATCAAACTACTCACAATTTTTAATTTATTTTAAAAATTGGCTATAAATGTTTAGGATTAGTTGGAAAAATATTCTTTCATTTCCTTTACCCTACTCAAAACTTCTCCAGCATAGGAATGAAAGAGGACTACATGTTGTCACCCTGGTGCAAATGATCTTGGAAACAATTCATGGCACAAGGCTCCAAGATAAAGAAGGAGTGGGTAGAACTAAGACACTATAAATTTTTTGATTTTTTTTGTTTGTTTTATGTTGAGAACACGGAAAGCTGTGACTTAGTTTACCCTTTGCCAGTGTTAACCACAACTAAATGACTCTCCTTTGATATCCTTTGTTTTTAAAGCTACTTACTTATCTATGGGGTTATCTCTTTGCTAGACAAAGATGAGTGCTCTAAGGATAATGGCGGGTGCCAACATGAGTGTGTCAACACAATGGGAAGCTACATGTGTCAGTGCCGTAATGGATTTGTGCTGCATGAAAATAAACATGATTGCAAGGAAGGTATGAAAGAAGTGTTCTTTTTTTGACAACATCTAGAATTTCATGCAGTTTGGGTAAAGCAGTCCTTCCAGGTAGAGTTAATCATATCAATGAGTGTTAAATGTTAACTGTTCAAATGTCAAAAATAAAAATACATGCAGTGTTCAAAGATCCAAGTCATACTATTGGAAACCTTGTATTACCTAAAGGTACTGCACTTCATATATGGTTGGAATTAGAATAACTTTGTATAACAGACATAGAAGCTGCTGTGATGCCATCTGGCAGCCAGAAAGGCACTACATTATCCCTCAGTCTTCACAGAACAGACCTTACAACTATCTCCATATTTAAACTTAACTTCTGCTAAATGTTTTACATTTGGTTCAATTTCCCTCCCCAAAATATCTCATATATGTGCTACATGAGTGATGTCACTTTAAATACCAGGAGTATCAAATTCAAATGCCTACCAGAAGAAAGACATTTGAAAATACTGTGCCATTTAGAGTTTTAAGTCATGGTTTTGCCCCCTCCCCAGCACACACACACACAGAAGCATCCTAGTAACTCAATATTAGCCTACCAGTTTTTGGTCCCAAATTCTTACCATATTCCAAGATTTTATAAAGATAATTATCTTAATCTCCTGAGCCAATATGAGCTACATGGGAACAAGAAATAGTTATTCAGGTCTTATTTCGTCCTTTGTGGGTCTGCCCCTGAATTTTCCATTTAACTTGGATTTATTACTAAGGCAGGTTTCATAACTAGTCATTAGAACATGTAGAGTGGTGGGTGCCTGACTAGAACCACAGGTAGATAGCACTTCTTTGTATTCACATTCCAATAGTACAGAATACCCTGAATTGACCCTTGTTCCATTCAGTTCCATTCAAATATGGTCATATGTCACATTTTTTTCCTCTTTATTTCACAGAGTTAATGACATTGCCCAGAATCATATGCAAGTAGGATTTTTTTCTCTTTTAATTTTCATGTATGAGCATAAACCAATGAGATTGTGATATGTGTAACTTGGTAAAGTATTCTGATAAATCAATAGGCTGGGGAATAGGCCCAGTTATTTTGAAATATGGAAGGTAATTCAGAAAAAAAAAAAGAGAGAGCTTTTCAGAGTATGCATGTAGCCTGTGACTCACAGGTAGCACATAAATTTAGATATCCAAAGTCTCTCTTCATTAGAGTAAATATTTTCAAGAAAGGACTTCTTTTTAAATGGAACTGTATCCAGGCACCCCTAATAAAGTTCATCTTTACTGTTAGTAAAGGGGATGGATTTTCTTTCACCACCGTTATAGTACAGGTGCCTTATACAGTTTAGCAGTGAGCCTCTTGGCTTTGTCTTATAAACTAAACTATTTGCCAGATCTGGGAGATTCCACACTTCATATGGCCAAGGCAAGGACAGGGATAATGGGATTTAGGAAACCTTGTCAAGACAGGATCCAGACTTTAAGACTACTGTCTTGCTGCATGACCCTATATTGTTTGAAAGGAGCTAAATTTCACCCTTTTTTTTGTGTTCCTTGGTTAAGAATCCAAATCTCCCTGTGGAAACCCGGCACAGTTAAAGCAAAGGTCTAGTCGGAGAGCATGTGCCAACAGCACAGTAATGTCAGTCATTTTATCCTTACTGTGCAGCCCTGTAGTGCAACAAATGTTTTTTCCATATAGTAGAGTATTTCCCCAGAGATTTCTTGGAAAATTTCACAGAATTAATTGTATTTTAGAATGGGTTACACAATACATAACAAATAATTTCCAGCCTAAGCCAGGATGTGCAGGGTGACACTTCATAAATTATATAGATAGAATACAGTCTGAGGATATTACATGCTTTTGAAGTTTGAAATTAACAATATTGGATGGTCCCCTCCAAGATGAAGTTGTTTAAATTGTAAGACCTAAAAGAAATTTCATGTTAATTGAATGACATTTTTTTTAATTAATTCAGAAGCTAGTAGCTGTTTACATATTTTTCCCCTTAGTGCTTCATTTCACTGTGATGAAATGACAGATAATTTACTTAAGCAGCTAAAATTATGGTTTAAGTATTCAAGTGTATACTTTAACAAAGAGAGAGAGAAAATGTAAAGACATGTTTCATAAAGTGGCTTAGTGATACTAGTTAGCTATAAATGATGTTTCTGTTAATAGGAAGAAAATAACTGAAAATGACATAGTCATTTTTGTTGTGGCATTGCATTAAATATTTTGCACATACCAAGAGTTGATATCTTTGATTGTCAATAATGTTGCTCTGTTAAAATCTAAACTTTTAGATCCAGATCCAGCAGTTAAAAAGATCCAGCAGTTAAAAAGAGTTCATTTTCTTGTAGACATTTATTTAATTCATTGTAAACACAATTTCATGTGAACCCAAAAACAAACATTTTCTGATTATGATAATGATTATGCAACAGGTTTACCAAAGCAGATAAATATGATACTGGAGACTAGAGTGATGATTAGTTATTGAGGAAAATCTTTCATCAGGATAGTGTGTAAACAGGCTACTTCCTTGCTGGCCCAATTCTGGGCTAGATTTCCACACTAATTGATTTTATCATTATTGGCACAGCTGAGTGTGAACAGAAGATTCACAGTCCAAGTGGCTTCATCACTAGTCCCAACTGGCCAGACAAGTACCCAAGCAGGAAAGAATGCACATGGGAAATCAGTGCAACTCCTGGTCATCGAGTAAAATTAGTAAGTGAGCGCACTGTTCTTTTTTCTGTTAAGCTGCCTGCCCGTATCTTGCACAGCTAGTGCATGGAAATAAAATAAATAAAATGAATGTTTATTTAATTGAATTGAATTAGTAGGCAGATGGGAAAGACTTTCTTTCTTATGTTTTCCTACTAACGCTAAATAAATTCCTGATTTCCTAGATCAAGGTGATAGTAATGGTAGCCATGTAGTTCTTGTACAGTCTTCTTATCCTGGATGGGATGCTTTAAAAGGCATTACCAAAATTACTACAAAACAATATGTTCTACTTCCTAATATGTTATTGAAATAATGTTTCCAAATGGAGATATAAATGAAGGAACAAAAATATCAGAAATTCAGCAAGAAAGCAATAAGTATTCACTTCAATGCAGCATAGTAAATTCTATCAGTTGTGTCAATTCTATATGACTCATATACAAAGCATATGTATTTTTATAATAAAACTAATTTTGTCTTATGGTTTATGGAATATTATTTTTGCATAATGTAGTTGCCCTCTTTAGATGAGTACCGTTATCATTAGACTTCTTCCAAATTCAAATATGAATGTAATATATGTCCTCTCTCCTGTATTCTATGAACCTTGCATTCTGTCCTGGTCATCTGACAGTACATCTTAAATTTCATTATAGGCTACAGAATACTTGAAGAGTATACTTTAAAGAAATAGAATCATAGGAATATAGAAATTTTAACAATTTTCTGAAATATGCTGTTGTCAAAAGCAGGAAGGAATGCCAACTAACAAAGTTCAGGACAGTCTAACAAGAACCATAACAAAGGACAAGAAATTGTCTTGAGAATGAGGCTACCAGTCCACTGTAGCTTACTGGACCAGTCCAGTTAATTTTGAAAGTCTGTTTGAACCCTTTCCTTCAGTGGGTTTTTTTGGCCAATAAAGACCTCTTATTCATATGCAACATAATAATAATGTTATTAGAGACTGTCACTGAGATATTCATATTCCTATTATGGAGTTCCTTCCAATCACCGTATTTGTAAGATATCAGTATATGACTTTTTGAAAAGAGACATCAATTCATTTCAGCCACTCTTTGGAAGGATGCTAGGTGCTAAGATAACAGCACTGTAGGATTTGATTGCTTTCCAGTCCTGTTGAAGACCCTGACTGAGATGATCACTCTCTGAAGCTTATGGGCTGAGATGCAAAGGCTGCATTCTTTTCCGCAGTGCAATATCTAAGGCAGTTGGGAAAATGGATTTTCCTGAAGACTTTTGTGTGTGTGTGTACATCCAAGTTTCATCTGGTATCATATTCCTTCTCCCTGAAGAATTTCTTTTTATATTGTGTGTAGAGTAAGTCTGTGCAGAGTATGTCTTTTATACCCAAAGATATTTTCATTGGGTATAAAATTCTAAGATAGCAATTTTGTTTTCTCAGCTACACTTTAAATACCTGACTCCACTACTTTCTGTCCTTCATGGTTTTTAATGTCTGTGGTAAATCTTAATTTTATTCCTGTGGAAATAATTATTCTTTTCTCTGATGGCTGCCTTCAACATTTTTTTATCAGCACTTTGAATATAATGTATCTGGGAGTGTGTGTGTGTGTGTGTGTGTGTGTGTGTGTGTCCGTCTGTCTATCTGTTTAGTAATTTATCCTTCTGAGAAATCTTTGAATTTCTTGCATCTATGTTGTGATGACTGCCATGAATTTTTGAAAACTCTTGACCATTATTTCTTGACAAACTCCTCCTGCATTATTGTCTCTCTTCTTCTGGGATTCAAATTACACATATGTGAGATTGCTTCATACTATCCCATAACTCTTGAATTCTGTTATTTTTTTGCCACTCTTTTTGTTTTTAAGCTTGGGTTATTTCTATGGGCCGATCTTCAAGTTCAATGATTGTCTATTCAGTTGTCTTAAGTCTACTTATGAGTTTGACAGAGGTATTCTTTATCTCCCTTATCATGTTTTTTTATTTCTTGAATTTCCATTTGATTTTTTAGTAGAGTTCCTGTGTATTAGTCTGCTTAGGTGGCCATAACAAAATACCACAAACTGAGTGGCTAAAACAACAAAAATGTATTTTCTCACAGATCTGGAGGCTAGATGTTCAATATCAAGGGACTGTGGGGACTGGTGTCTGGTGAGGCCCCTTTTCCTGACTTGTAGATGGCTGCTTTATCACTGTGTCCTCACTTGGCCTTTCCTCTGTGGGTACATATGGAGAGAGAGAGACAGAGAGAGAGAGTGCATGCTCTGGTGTCTCTTCATCTTCTTATAAGGACATTAGCCCTGTGGGATCTGGCCTCACCCTTATGACCTCATTTAACCTTGATTACCTCCTTAAAGGACCTGTCTCCTAATGCAATCACATTGAGTTTAGGGCTTCAATGCATGTGTTTGGCCAGGATGCACAATTCAATTCATAACACCATCTCTGCTGAAATTTCTCATTTGATAGATTAAACATAGGGATCGTGTTTGAGTCTGCTCTGTTGATTATTTTCTCTATTAACACTGTGCTTTTCTTCTTGCCTTTTTGTGTGTCATGTAATTTTTGATTAAACATCAGACATTTTGTGTTTAACAGTAGAGACTTTATGTCTGGAAATGGTTACATCTCTTCTGTTAGGCTGTTAGTGAATGTGTGTATATGGGAAGGGATGTTGTTGAGTGAATATAGTCAGTAATTAGCTGAGTTTGGGTTGTCTTGTTCCTATGATTACCTTCAGTGAACCATTGGCTTTAATTCCTTTCTCTTAGATTGAAGGCTGGAATTTCAGATGCATTTTCTCAATGTTTCTCCTTTACCTTTAGCTTCTGCTTTCATCTCTATCACAAATTGTATCCCTCTTCACACTTTTTTCCCTCAACCAGTGATAGACTGCAGTTACACACTGCTTGGTGCTTGGTAGTCTGGTGGTGAGGACAAGGGGTTCTCTACCTTAGACAGGATCTGTTTCTAGGTCTTAGAAATAGCCTTTCTCAGTGGTCCTGCCTCTTCTCTTCCTGGCAGCCAAACTCCATCTATCTCTGGTTGGTCTTCTATGGGAGAGTTTCTTTTCCCTCTCCCAGTTGTAGCAGGTCCCTGATATTATTGGTGTAGGCTCCTGAGTCCAAGACTTCCCCAGGGCTGGAAGTGTTATTTGTTTGTTTAAGCTTTCCTGTGGCTACAGTGGGTCTGCCCTGGTGGTGACAGGTTTTCTGCTCCTCCCCCAGAGGCTTATTTTATTTTCCAGAGAAAGGTTGCAACAGGACTTCATGCTTTTCTCCCAGCAGTGACCACTTCCCCCTCCAAGCCTGCAACACCAAGAAAGGTACTTGCCTAACTCCTACTCTTCCCACAGTCTTTCTCATGAGCAGGAGATTGAAGTCCATGGAGAAGAGCCTGCAAGTGGGTGCAAACTCCTGTGTCTACAGCTCCTAGAGTGCTATACTCTAGTCCATAGCTGACCTTTACAATACATTACAATTGTAGCTGAATGCATCTAACCTAGTTATATGGCACCCAGCATCTCTTCTAGCTGTAGTCTGTCACTGGTGACATGCTCGTGTCTCATCTCTCCTTGGCAGGGGCTGAGAGTCAGTGGATTTGATACTACTTGGTTGACTAGTGACTTTGGCTCTTTGATGTGTTCAGCAAAGTTGTGATTTTTTTACTTGACATAGGTTTTCTTGTTAGGGTAGAAGGAACACTAGTCCCAGCTTTCTATATCCAAGGGGAAATAGAATTCCTAATATACCTTAACTCGAAAAAATGTCAATAATTTATTTTTTCTCAATTATATACCTTTCAGTTTATTGAGCATCCCTTTCAACTCTAAGACAGTCTGCTTCTTTACAAATTACAGGCAAATATTCCACTTGAAGATCAGGAGAGTCTGTTCAACAATGGTCATACCTGCTAGCATCCTAAGAAGATAATTTTTAGAAGGAAAGGAGCTTTAATGCTACTATTCATCTTTGTTTTAAGTATTTGACTTTGTGATCTTTGTAGAAGTAGTTACAGTCTAAGCCAGAATATTAGCAGGCATCAGAATTAACCTGGAAGACTTGTTAAAACACATTTTTGCCACTCCAAGTTTTCTGAATCAGAGCGTAATATTGATTCCACTCTCTTATTTCATTAATCATGTTTATATAAAACCTGACTCACAATATCACTCTAACAATCAGGATCAGTAGAAAATGTGTTGTAACAGATTAGCTACCAACTTCAAGTGATATTTTAGTTCTATACTTTTTAACTCTTACCATTTTGACATTATTGTTGCTTACGTTTACCATTTTTGTCTCCCTGCTTGTAATACAAGTGTTAATGAATCTTACCTACTTTAAAACTGAAACCACTATCTGTTACGGATCTCAGCCAATGGACATTTGGCCAGCACTGTTTGTAATATTCAAACCATTCAATTACCTACCTATGTGTTTTGACATTTATTATACAGGAGATTTGATCAAGAAGATATATTGTTTAAAATAAATGCATTTTGTTTGGTTTCTTTAGGATCCTTAATTTTCATGGAGGAACTTGAACCCAAACTAAATTTGGAAAATAGATTCCAGGGAAACTTGGAAAATTCTGAAATCTATTAATCCTGTTAGGTCAAGAGCTGCTGATAGATACTCAGTTCTAAGCTAGTTTCTTTATAGGCCAAGGCAAAAAAGAAAAGGCAAAGAAAAGATTTGGTGTCCCTGTGTGCGCCATGGAGCTTTCTTTACAACTCATATTTACTCCTTTTACCTTAGGCTGTGTGGAAAAATAAGAAAACATTTCTAAATATTTTACCTATTCATACAGAAGCAAAGAAAAGGAAATTGTCCCTGAAGACACTTCCATGACATATTTTTTTAAAACACCTTGTTTATGAATTTTGAGAATCTTACTGTTCTTTCTAACCCAGATATTCCTTTAACTTAACATAGAGTTGTATTGAGTGACATGCAAGTAGTGGCTTATGGGTATAAGCAAGCCTCTTTCACTGCATCTGAGATAACCAT